ATATATATATATATATATATCGTTACAGGACAAAAAATTACAGATATCCAGAATACAGTGCAACCGTGTTTAGAGAACAGTAATAAAGTCCTGAAGTGTTTCCAGGACCATCCCAAGGAGACTCTGAAATGTTCAAATTTGGTAGAAGAGTTTTCGAATTGTGTCTGGAACGTGCATACACACATGATCGAAACGCGTTCGTAATATATTCTACTTGCGCGACTCATGGATCATGACATCTTCAAAACAGAACATTTAGTTAACAGATAAATTGTATATTAAACTGTAATGCCTAAAATTGTTTCAGCAGAATTGTTGCTGATGAAAAATAGTATAAAGCAAAGAGTACATGAGGAGAAATGCAAAAAATAAATGAATATATATTGTGATTTATAACAAAATGAGATGATTATTACATGTACGAGATAAATATTGTTGAGCATTAAACAAAAAGTACATTTCTTTCATTAATATTTATCCAAATTTAATCAGCAATAGGGTTTCATAATGCCATGTAGCACAAAATTTTTGTTTACTAGAATAACGATTTGGTAATTGTGCAGGAAAGTGTATATTATGAAGGCTAACCTGAACGACTTATTTTGAGGTTCTATATATGTATGTGTATATATATATATATATATATATATATAATTCTATTTATAGATCAAAAATATATACAGTATAACCCAGGGTGTACGACCCAAATAAAGGCCTACAGCAGCATAGTATTTATAATTTTATATAAATTAGTAAATATAAAACGAGGAAACACATTGCAAATGCAAGTCATTGGAAGTACATTTGTGATATATTTTCTAAAACACGTATGTAAAATATATATATATATATATATATATCCTATTTATACATTATAATAATATTGCCGAATGTATATAGAGAGTGCAGTAATCAATTATTTTCGTACAGTATAAAATGATATCAGTTGATGACACATCTGCCATCAAGAGACCTGTTCTTTTTAGCTGAACTTCTTGCATGTTTCATCTTTCTTTTTTCTTTTCATGTTCGAGAAGAAAAAAAGAGAAGATAAACTGTGCAAGTTCAGCAAAAAAGAACAGACTTAAATTTTTATATATCACTCTAAAAAGAAATACAAAGCAACTATAACGAAAACTTTAATTTATGAAATTCTTAGAATTACATTATCAATTATCTCTAAAAAATTAAGCGGTAATATATTACGAATTAAGACGGGTTGCAAGCCTTGTACACAAGCAGTGCACAAAATTGGAAAGAGGAGATGTACAATATATTCCGAGGCACATTATACCACCACACAATAGTAATAATATTTGCGTACAACTTCTTAACGAAAGTATATATGAATATGTTTTAATATCAAATGAGTGTGATTCTTGTTTAAATTTACAATACAAATTATAATATAACGTAACAAAATTTTAGGATTCATGAGCAAATGATGGTTTAAAAAACAAAAAAGAAAAATGAGTAAACCTTAATTATTTAATCAGTTTTCTTATCGCCACTCGATTGTGTAAGTTTCGTATATTCCTTAGTCAAACGATCGTATTCCTTCGTGAGTGATTCCGCCTGCGATTTTATCGCTTCTTTATCCTTCCTTTCTTTAGTCAAATTACTCTCAAGCTCCTGATTCTTCGCTTGCAACTCCTTAATTTGAGTTTTCAATTCCGAGACAGCTTTGTCGTGTGCTTCGTTGGAATCATTCTGCGCACTCTCCCCAATTGTTCTCTGGGACAACAAGCTTCTGGCTGTGGTTGTCGCCGACTGTGCCTGCCGCATGGCTGCCTCGTTTTGCGCAAGTAAAGAAGCTTGAGCAGATATCAGAATGACAAGACGACGTATCACCAAGCTTAGAAACAGCGCAAAGCCGGATATGTAGAAATTCCTCTGCGCGCGAAATAATCTCATGTTTTCTGGAAAGAGTGTATTAATGTAAGCGTTAGAATAGTGACATAATTTGTGGCGCGCGTAATCAGGAGTCACAAGAATACGAAATTTCAAGCAAAAAGGAGCATTGTGAGATACAAAAGTGTAAAGGGTGATTCTCAAGTATTCTAAGATTCAAAAAATCACCTCTTAAAAATTTTCAAAATACATAAAAATCACTGTGTATAATCTACCTTGCATTTCAACATTTAACTGATGATGATGGTCTGTGTGATCTAAGCTCGTAGAGTATTTCCGCATTTCTCGTATGGCATCCAGTAGAAAGAGAACCAGAACACCCAGCAAGACCACAAAATAAATAGAAGCCTGATTATTTAAGCTTTGCAAAAAGCGAGACTTGAAGAACTTTTGCCATCTGGTTGGTGAGGCTACCGGAAGCACCAGGAGGAGGACGATTGCAACCTCAATATAGAGGAAACCAGCTATGAGGGTCCACTGTAAACTCATGTTTGCCTCTTACTCTACCTCTGTGTTTAGATACCTAAAAAAATGATAGAATATACATGTCAATGTAATCTTCAGATCTCAACATCTTGAAAATGTATGGAAATCAAGTATTTATTGGAATTTCTTGTTGCCAACTGTCGGAATCTTATCTTTTCCTGACAAATAAAGCACTGCGCTTCCTAGCATCTACAAAATGCCTATGCAACAGGATACTTTAATCTCAATTCTATTCATAAAAACTGGTATAAAGTAGAGATAGCTTTACCAACATAGGCCGGTATTCATAGTCAGATTTTATATTTAAGACCGTCTTAAGTACATTCTTAAGATGTCATGAACCAATCAGAGGCCGATATTCATAGTCAACTTTTATTTTAAGATCATCTTAAGTAATGTTTTAAGTCGCTAATGCAGCCCTTTGATTGGTCCATGACATCATAAGACTGTACTTAAGACAGTCTTAAATATAAGATCTGACTATGAATACCGGCCAGAGGGCCACATTAGCGCGACTTAAGACATTACTTAAGACAGTCTTAAAATAACAGACTATAATACCGGCCATAGATTAACTTTAACCTTGGTTGAACTTACTATCTTCTTCCAAGTTTTAAGACCTAGAATAGTTCTTCACCAATATAGATTAACTTCCATGTCGATTCAACTTATTTTTGTCTTCTTATATTTCCAAGAATTAAAAAATATAGTTTTAAAAAAGTCGTTTTTTTCAAATTGTGGGAAAAAAATTAAATAATTTTCTTTATGAAAAGAAGCAAATATCTATGGCAGATTTTACGAACACATAAGAATTTTTCTACCCTTAAGAAAGGAACTGAGAAAATTCATGGAAAAAGTGGAAAGAACCAGATTTTTAGAAAATTTTAAAACTATTTAAAAAAAGACGAAAAGTAAGTTGAATTAAAATTACAGCTAATCTACATTGGTAGAATGGTCGTCTCTTCATCTTTTTCTGCTTCTAAGAATTAGAAAAAGATAGAAAATAAATTAAACTGAAATTAAAAAGGAAGAAAGATAAACTGTGCAAGTTCAACTGGCAAAAAAAAAACAGTATAATACATTTCGCGCTGCGACGCAATTATTAAATTAACTTCTCAAGGAATGCATGCAAAGAGAATTAACAGGATGATATGTGATTTTGAATCGGATCATGATCAGTCATGACGCAACATCACTGCAATGAAATAACACGATCAGAGAGAGGATTCGTGGAAATGTCATCGATCGGCCTGCTGATCATTTTCAAAGCCGCACCTGTCACGTTTCGGATAAGTACGTGATAGACACGATCCGCTCGCAAAAATAAAGCACGTTGTCAGGTAAAACGAAGGTCAACAATCCGGAGATTGGAGTCGTCGGCTGTCTGGCACGCCTCTAAACTTAACACACATACGAAGATGTATTTGATATATTTTGAATAGCCGTTTAACGAATGAATCCTCGACGTATTTATAAGCTAGCGAGTTGTTTGCCTGGGTGACCGGCGGCGAATTTCACTTGTCAGTGAAATTCACCAGGATTCTTAATTCCTTACGTGGGTACCCTGTGAAGACGAGTACAACGGCAAGAGGATTGGAACACGTCGTCGGCCTCCGGCGATTTATATATGACGTGCCAAGGTGTATACGAGTAGACTGTAGACTCAAAGTGCGACAGCGAACGTCTCGTTAGTAGTCGGTAGTTTTATAAATAAACCGTACCTCGTGACGTCACCTGGACTCCTAGCAAAATATATGATTTTCTGCATCGCTTCATTCGCTACTCTGTTCTCTCTGTTTCGCTTCCTCTTTCTGTATCCCTCTTCTCTTTTTCTCTGTCACGATATGCACGACAGCCGACAAATGCTTTAAAGCGTTTTTGGATTGGTCAATTTCTAAAATTCTTTCGTTTGATTGGTTTGGTTCCATCAAACGCTTCAAAGTACTTTCTAGGGCACATCCGTTTCACGCATGATGCGCATGCTGCATCATTTATCTTTGTTATTCATCGAATGTTAAACAAGAATAAATGATAATTATGGGCCGGTCTCATCAACTCCTATTAACTTAATCGATTGATTCTTGCATTGGAACTGACCAATTGCATTTGTTGTTCAGCAGTATTGACCAATCACGGTCGACCGCCCCCTTCCCCCCCACAGTCATAGCCTGTGGTCTTAAGCGGGGAGCACAGACTCTTGCATAACGCATAACACATGAGGCATAAGAAATTGAACCAATCAGAGTTCTCTATTACATGGAAGGGAAAGAAACGGAGAACTTTGATTGGTACATATTCTTATGCATTACGTGTTATGGGTTATGCAAGAGTCTGTGCTCCCCGCTTTAGGGTTTGTTCGCGTCGCATACTCCAACATGCTTCAACATGTTCCTACCACAGCTCCTACTCACTCTAACGAGCGCGTTTGAGTGAGTAGGAGCTACAGTTGGAGGAAATAGGAGTATGTTGGAGCATGCGACGCGAACAAACCTAAAGTGAGTAGGAGCTATGGTAGGAGTATGTCAAAGTCTCGCTACAAATACTTTGAAGCATTTGATAGACCAATTAGAAAAAAGAATTTTACAAATTGACCAATTAAAAAACACTTCAAAGCGTTTGTAGCATCGCGTTGACCGTACCCCTAGTGAGACTTTGGCTTAAGGTTTGTTCGCGTTGCATGCTCCAACATGTTCCTACCATAGTGTCCATAGTTCCTACTTATTCCAACATGGTCGTTGAAGTGAATAGGAACTATGGTAGGAGCATGTTGGAGCACGCGACGCGAACAAACCCTTAGGGTGCCGTCACATGCGGCGTAACTTGCGTAAGCGTAACTTGCGCCGACCAATCATATCATTTCACTTGAACATCAGTTTCTATCTAGGCCGCGGTCCGATACACGTTCACAACGCTTAAAAATCATTTCATCCTTGTTGTTTGTCAAATGTTAAACGAAGACAAACAATGCTCATGAGCGTTGTCAGCATGATTCGGACCACGGCCCTAGTCACTTTATGCTTTTTACGCTATTTTGTTACGCCGAAACATGATAGAACCACCATGCGTCGAATCTAATTTCTGGCTCATTTTAGCTTATTCTATCTGAAAAAATGCACAAGGGTTTCGATTTTGCAACAGTACAATTATAGAAGTCGTGCGCCCCTTTGCATCGCGTGAAAAGTCGAAACACATGTGGAACTACAATTATAGACCTGATTTTGCCTCTGTGACAGATTTCCTAACCTCAATAGTCAACAACTTTAACGCTTAATATCTCAGATCGCAAGGCAGAACGACGTTTTTTTTTTTGCCAAATTCTTTCGTTTCATGCAAAAACGCGTCGAATAAGCCTAAGAATTGTCTCACAAAATTTTCCGATTTTAATAATTTATTCGATCATCCGCTCATATATACGCGATGGTACCGGTTCCCCATGAGGCGTACTTTTCGAGATGCGTAGGTTACGAAAACCAATCGTAAATTGATTTAGCATTTCTGTTAGAGGGTACAACAGAAATTCTAATCAGCAATTGGTTGCAGTTCTGCATTTCTCTAATCTTCCGCGAAATACGCTCAATGTGAATGCGGACTTTCAGAATGGCGTATTCTAGTAAATAAAAAATAACGTATTCTAGTAAATTACTAGAATACGCAGGTTACGCTTACGCAGGTTACGCCGCATGTAACGGCACCCTAAGGGTGATCCCATGCAGCGGATCGTGCGTAAACGGATTCGCGTATCGCCAATCACAGAATCATTCTCTTATAGCGTTTTCGATTGGGGTGCACTGGCTGCACTCAGTGTCAAGAGCGTGTTCGATTGGCAGTGCCAATGAGCACTTGGCTAGTGTCACGTGTTCATTTGATCGCACGACACTCGCGTAGTGCGAACTCAGTGCGCACTAAGTGGCACGAGATATTTTGACGGTGCCAGTTCAGTGCACGTTTTATCACAGTTAAGGATATACATAGGGACAAGCAAATCTGCGCAGTTGAATTGAAAACGGGGTCTTGTCCCTACTCTTAATATCTTTTACTGTAGTTTTGTAACATTTTGTTGAACATTGCTTCAAAGTGAACAAAAATGAGTTTCAGCTTTAGCACTGAAAATCTTGGCGTATTCTTTTGAACTTGCACTATTTAGTGCAACCCATGGAACTCGTCCAGTGTTGGTGTGAACTGAGTGCGCACTAACTTTTGCCCAATCGAAAACGCTATTAGATATGCTTGCGAAATTTGCAAACAGATCTAAGAGAATGATTCTGTGATTGGTGATACGCGAATCCGCTTACGCACGATCCGTTGCATGGGACATCACCCTAAGGAGGTAGTCGAGTGATAGTCACTTCCAAAAGTTAGTTCGTGTACAAACGGCTAAACTTTTTGATGCAATGATACAGCATTGACCAATGAGATCGCTTCACG